TGTTTGAGCGACCATTGGTGGTTGTTACACACACAAGATGAACATTCCCCTCCCAACATAGTCTATTCCATACATAAGGTCAGCATTTGAAACTTGGACATCTTGGTTAAGGAATATAAGCTACTACCAGTTCTGTCAACTAATGTTAATTTTTTCTTTTCGACTAACATTGATTGACACAAGTTATACCGGAAGCTAATTTTAATATGCGGGGTTTATTTAAAAAAAAATAAAACTAAAAATTAAGATCTAATATAATTTTTAAAACTTAAAACTAAAAATTCACACCCAAGGTAGCGGTTCCACTTTCCACAATATTGATTGTTGCCGATAAAATGAGCTTTAATTGCACAAGAGAAATTCAAGCGGCACCTAATTTTATTTATTTATTTATTTATTATAGAAACTACTTGATATATGAATCAAATCCTACTTCTATTAAATAAAATAAAAAAAAGAGAGAGAGAGAGAATCAAATCCTACTTATTTCTTTGTCTTTACTTTATCTGTTTATCCTACTATATATGCAAATTATCATTAAAATTTATGAGATATACCCTAACTTTTGAATCAGCATTATTAAAATGGTTGAAAAATACATTGTGTTCAGGAAAAAAGGTGCTTTCAATTTTCATGATCAAGACCTTACGGGAACGACATTGAAATATTAGCTGGACAATTAAATTATAGCAGTAACTAGTCTCCTTTTTCCTTGTATTTTTGGGTCTATTATAGTCTATAGTCTCTTTTCTTCTTGACTAATAAAAAAGATGTTTTAATTTAGCGTGTGATTTGGAGATTGAAGTCACTATCACACGATCGCAGACAGTGACCGGAGGCATGTAATAATCTGTTATATCGAGCTTAATTTTAATGTATTTTAAATATAAAGATTTTATATTATTATTTAATGTTATGTCCATATTTTATTTAATATAGTTAAATTTAATGATAATTATATGCAATATTGAATTTATTCAATAATGTTACATCGTTGAATTTTACTACCAATTTTTTTAATAAATATTTAATTTTGTTTTTGAAAACATATATAGTTGAATATATATATATATATATATATATATGTGTAAAGTTTTTAATTACAGTAAAGTTTTTTATTTTAAATTAAATAGTAAAATATATAATATATACTTATAGCTAACGTAAAGTAAATGGAATTTAATCGGTTGATAATGTGAAATATCATGTACATATGATTGCTAAGTGATACAGGACTTCTCTAATTTGATATATATATATATATATATATATATATATAAGAGTTCAAACGATACCGGTATAACTTTTACTAAGTATTACACCACTCAATAACTTTATATTAAATGTGAATTTTGTAAATCCAACCATTAGATTGAAAGTTCATATCTCTTAGATCATATATACAAAATTTTATATTAATCCAAGATGATTTGATACTTCATTCTTATAAAACAAAATTGACGTAATATATTTATTTCAAAATACACTAAAATATGAACAATTTGATTACCTTCAAGTTGTTGTTCAATTTTAATAAAATTTGTCATACATGATCTAAGAGATATGAACTTTCAATCTAACGGTTGGATTTATAAAATTCACATTTAATATAAAATTATTGAGCGGTATAATACTTAGTAAAAGTTATATCGGTGTTGTTTGAACCCTCCTCTCTCTCTATATATATATTTCTAATTATTTGTCGCATTAAAATTGACATATTTTACACCCAATGTTTAATGTAATTTAATTAATATTCAATATTTTCTAGGAGCTGATTATAAAGTTTTAAAATTAAAAAAAAATATTTAATTTTTTTTACAGTAATAATACATAGTCTTGTTTAGTTTTCTTTTCGCCTTTTCCTTTCTTATATTCCCGCATAACCAAAAAAAGAACATAAAAATCAAATCATGTATGTTATATGAGTTTTTTTTTGTTTTTTTAAAGATAGGAAAAATTACAAAGATGGTTGCAATGAGGATTGAACCTAGGTTCTCATGCTTCTAACTACTCCAACTCCTCTCCACCCAACCATTAGGCTAATCCTAGTGGTTTAAATATGAATTAATCATCCATACACGGCCAATGTAAAGTTTTTTACATTAGCAACCAATTATATTTTTTAAATTATTTTTTTATTAAATAAGCAACTGACATATTATTAAAAGATATGATTGGTTGTCAGTGTAAAATTTTTTTACACTGGCAGTATATAGGTGATTAACTCATGTAATATTAGGTAAATGAAAATTCTAATAATGATGTAGTCAAATAGTTATAGCATAATTACATAAATGATTTGAATTATATGTCAAAAAATATTATGAAATAAATTTAAATTTAAATATTTGTAACAATAATTGTATGAGTTTATGATGAAGTTATTTTATGGTATTTGTTTGAAATAATATTTTATAAGTATTATTGTTATAAGGTTATTTCACACATAACTCCATAACGATGAAATATTGTTCACTTTGAGTCTAATTAAGTCCTCACGATTTTACTTTTAGTCATCATCCAAAAAAGTCTCTTAACAATTTATATACACTATACTGTATATAAATTTAAAGTATAATTTATTTATACAAATATTTTATAGAAATTTACTCTTTTATTACATAAAATTAAAAAAAAAAAGATGTTATAATAAAAAGTGTAAAACGTTATATTGAAAAAACATATAAACTGAATTTTATTTGTTTTCATTCGGAATGATTTTTTAATTGATGTTTATTAATCCCAGTTTTATTATAACAATTTTTCAACAAGAATATAGCATATTTATTTTTCATATGTTTTCTATTTATTAAATTATTATTAATCAATTATTATTTTATATATTAAATGATCGAATTTTAAATAAAATATGTTTGTGAATACATTTTACTTATTTTTATTTTATTTTATCGATCATATGATATATAATTTCCGATATCCCATCATTTATCCTTTTATATAGATGAGAAGAGGAAAAATAAAAGCGAATACAAAAATTTCAAAATTGAAAAAAAGGATATATTTGAAGAAAAAAAGAATTGATCGTTTCCCCTTTTTTTTTAAATCTATTTTTAGTCTTGTATGTTCATTCTCTCTTTAGTCAACCAATAATATTTTTTGCCAGACCCACTAGCTTTTTAATCCAATACGCTTCTAATTTATTTATTTACTTTTATTTCAAGTTAAAAATTAGAATCCAACATCTTATTTATTTGGTTTATCACTCATGGTGTAGAAAAATTGCATTTCATTCTATTGGTCTTTAGTTCACTTTATCAAAAATGGGACATAAATGAAAAATTCAATATGTTCATGATTTTAAGGAGACTAAGATGGTGATTGATCACATGACTTCTTTAACTCATTTTTATGATATATGATTTCATTTGTTAGATAACTTTCCTTATAAGATCTATAGGTTTTTTTTTTTTTGGGTTAATATATGCAATAGATCTTTCTATGACTTGTAGCCCTCCTCAATATATATCTATATATATATATATATTAAAATAAACACCTTATGACAAGATAGCATGTAACATTTACATTATTGATTTTACAGCCCATCTCTCTCTTATTTGCGCAAATAAATAGAAAGGATATCTATCCAAAGAGAAAATGGGTGTTGACAATGACAATAACAACTAAGAGGAGGTTGCCTTGCCAGTTGTTAATATACTCAGATAACAATAACACCAATCCAACATTGACTTCAAGTTCAATTAAATGTTTTTAATTTATAAATTATTTAAATTATACAATTCAAATATATTATTTAAATATGTTTAGAACTATAAATCTGTTGTAAATACATGTACTGATACAATATAAGCATTTTTAAGTGAACTGCTTCATTAAAATATTCATACAGTGAGAGAAGTTGATTTTTAAACTAAAACAAACCAGTTCTTAATCTGTAATATCATACTATATTCTTACACACACTATATTATAAGAATATTTTCATCTGGTGTAAAAAAAATATTTTTTTCATCTAAATTATTTATTTCAACAGTCTAAACTATGCTTACCCAATACAATATCGATTGTGTACTTTAAATATGTTTTTACCCATTAAATTCGAAGTAAATTTACTTTTAATCTTTTATATAAAAATTTTATTTTTTACAGTTTTTATAATTTTAAAAAATTTATTTAAATTTTTCAGATCATTACTAATAGACATAATCGCATCAATTGTGGAATATTGACCAAGTTTTCTTTTTAACTATGATATAATTATGAAGTATTTATTATTATAAATAATAATTAATCTTTGTTGTGAATGAATAAAAGATGAGTATTTCTTTTTTAATATAATTTATTTTATATTCAAAATTAGAATTTGAACTCTAAATAATTTAATTAAAAAAATATAATTCACTTTTACTTGTCTTAAACAGTGTTAGTAATACTCACCAAAATTTAATATAATGTTTTCAGACATAAGAACATAAGAATATTAGTAGAGGGAGATTTATGAGTTACGAAATTTGAAAAGAAGGAACAAAAAATAGTTCCGATGGAAACTTTGAAATTGGAATGCCCTATATGCTATAGTTCAAATGGTATCCTGAAACGAGAAACGAAATTCTTTACTAGGCAACGCATGTGATTTGTGCAGCTTTTGCCCCAAAAAAACACCACCCAACAATCATATTTATTTAATAAATCAACTGCAACGCATTACAGACAGTAAAAAGTATCCTATCCCCACCAAAATCTCCTTTCTAATGGTGTTTAAAAAGCATTAATACAGGAGGTTAATCATTACTTTCACTTCATAAATTGCACACACTCACCATATAACCACAATAACATGTTACCGTAAGTAGAAAACATGGTAAAAGCAAATGGTTGAGGCGAATAGTTGGTAGTAATTTGTCTTGCCACCACATTTATCCTCTATTGAATAGTTATTAATTAAAACACAGACACAGACTTTGGAGTAAAAAATTTAAGGATGAAAATATGCATGTCGGTTCATGATGACATAAGCATAGATTGGAGGGTTGTATGATATTGATTATTGAATCTCAGAAGCTAGCTGTGTCTTATTCTGCATCGAGGACCAGCTTGGAAATGGAAGCTCTTCTATCTATCTCTATTCTCTAGTCTTTTTCGCACAACCAGCCATATCTTTCAACTTCCAAATTCACTATTACGAAACTGCAAGATACTTCTACCTACACTTCATCATACATATTTCTCTCTCTGTCCCCTACCACTCTTCAATATAATATTCCTTTTATCTCAAGCGGTGGAACACTCTCCTCCACCACATTAATGTTTGTCTCTTTGTAGTTTTGTATTCATCATGTTCATTGTGCAGTGATGAATTCAAGTGTTTGGCTTCGGCATCTTCTTCTCATGCTGCTTCATTTATTGTCAAGTTTTATTCTCATTTTGGACCACTGAGCAGGGAGCAGATTCTTTTAATGCCAAGATAAAAAAATATAAAAAGGTTTGATCTTTGGTTCCTCGAAGCAATTGATGACGGTGTCAATGAATTTGTATTACTTACAAGTTGTTCCTGTGCGATTTGGCTGTGAAATTTGACAATTGGGTATGAGTGGTAGTTTCAGTTTTTTAGCATAGGTTGAGAACATGAACAGAAGGGTCAGGACTAGGAAGCTCCAATTCCAATTCAATAGCCCATGAAAAAGTAATTGAAGTTTGGTACAGTCAGAGGTCAGAAAAGGGTACATTCATGTCACTTGTATGTTTGAAAAACAGTTTGTACAGTAATAGCCCAAGTTCATTATTTTTATTATTAAAGTATCTGTGGAGCGTAACAACTTTCATCTCAAACTCTGGCTTCAGTTTCAATAAAAAATAAAAAATAAAAAAGTATGACACGGATCAGTTTATGGTGTAAAGAGGGTGTGTTAAGAAAAAGAACAAAACTGTTTCATAATCTAAATCCGTGATTTGTTATTGATTCTAAATTCCATTGTTTCCCCCTCTGGTAGCTTCTTGGATTTGATTTGATAGATGTTCTTGTCTTTAATTTTTTCTTTGATGGATTCTAACTTGTTTTGCATTGAATGAGAATGTAGATGATGAAGGGAAGCTTGAGAGTTGCAAATAAAAGTGGAAAAGCTTCTAGCAGAGAAAGAAAATTGGCTTTGCAACAAGATGTAATGCAATGGCACTGTGTTTTTTTCCTTGTCCTTATTTGAGTATAGCTGGCAATTGAGCTGAATTCTCCAACCTTTCAGGTGGATAGGTTGAAGAAGAAGCTTAGGCATGAGGAGAACATCCACAGGGCATTGGAGAGGGCTTTCAATAGACCCTTGGGAGCTTTGCCTCGTCTTCCTCCTTATCTCCCTCCCTATGTTAGTATATGAATTTCTCTGAAGTCCTTTTCCGAACACAAGCACTCTTGTCCTTTTTTTTTTTTATTCCATTGGAATCGAACACGGTACCAAGGGAATTTATAACAACTCATGCATCCTGTTCAAGCACTCTTTTCTGTTGCTAAGTTAGAAAGAAATTAGAATTTAGAAATGAAATTTTAGTACTGAATTTTGATGCTAAAAACTGTAGATACTAGCCCTTCTGGCTGAAGTGGCAGTTCTGGAAGAGGAAATTGTGAGGCTTGAAGAGAAGGTTGTGCATTTCAGACAGGATTTGTACCAGGAAGCTGTCTACATGTCATCTTCAATGAGGAAACTGCAACATTCAGTTTCACCTTCTCCAGACAAGTCAAATACAACAATGGATAGTCCCAAGTTGGATAAATTAAAGTCTCAATCTGGTAATTCAGCAACAACATCTGCAACTAGGTCTACCACAACACTCACTGGTGAGAAACTCCATCATTATGTTTCATTGGTTCAGATTAAGTAATTGATGCCTCAGATTTGTGCCTACATTTCTCATAATTTGTGCCAAAAAGAGTTTAGCCACTCCCTCATGGTTTGTGCATATTATTTTTGCTTGCCAGAGGATAGACAAGGGAAAGACAATCAATCCTGTAGTAATTCTTCCAAGAGCAGGCAGCAATCCTCCAACCAAATTAAAAAAACTCCAATTAAGAATATTCATTTTGACAATAAATCACTGCAGAAAAGATGGGATCATCCTAAAAGGAAGGTGTGTTATGTCAACATGTATATTGTAGAAGTTGGGTGATATAGCTAGTAGGTGAAAATTGAAGAATTACTTTTTAGTCAATGAATGTGAGCTTTCACAATGTGCAGCAAGAACCAAGGGTGAACAACCAGCAAATTGCAGATGTAAGAAGTCATAGTGCACATAAAAATTCATCAGAGGCTGAGAGTCCAAATATAATTTCAGAAAATATTGTAAAGTGCTTATCAAACATTCTCTTGAGAATGAGTGCTGTGAAGAATCCAGGTTCTGCAAGTGACATACGACCCTTGTGGGATCTAAAACCTCAAAACTGTGATGAAGGAGCAGATTTTGGGGATCCATATGGCATCTGGTTGGAATTTGGAAAGAGGGATATTGGTCCATACAAGCAACTATGTGCAATTGATGCTAAATCTTTCAATCCAAAACGAACTGCAAATACTTTGTTTTTACTACATCGGTTGAAGTACGTAACATTGTTCTATTTAAATTCAAGTATTGTTTACCTTTCCATCACACTAATTTGTTACTACTTGTGTTAATCAGAAGTTAAAGAGTTTTCATTTTGGGAAATTTGCAGACTTCTTTTAAGGAAACTAGCCTCTGTCGACTTGGAAAACCTCAATCATCAGGAGAAGCTCGCATTCTGGATCAACATCTACAACTCGTGTATGATGAATGTATGTCAGTTATGTCCATTACAAAACATTTAGAATCAATTAAGATTCAAGTTTTGAGAAGAGTTTTTGAGAATTTTTGTACAAAATATATAGAGCTTTTTCTGGTAAAGAAGTTATCAAAACAAAAGTTTTTTTAAGTTTGTATCCAAACAGACTTTTAGTATGATCTGTATCTAAACGTTTTTGTTTTTACTCTTGTGCACAATTTATTGTATCTTTCCTCAATAATCTGAATAGCTCATCTTAAGTGATGCACTTAATTATCTTCTCAAACCATAATAAATGATGGTATTTAAGTTCTACTTTGGTTCAGACATTCATAGAGAATGGCATACAAGAGAGTCCTGAAATGGCTGTTGCACTTATGAGGAAGGTATGGACTACTAGTGTAATTTTTTTATTTCAGTTTAGCAAAATATAGCATAAGTATGGTGCCAACAATTTATGTGGTTTTATTGTTACTCAGGCAACAATAAATGTGGGTGGACACGTGCTAAGTGCAACAACCATAGAGCATTTCATTTTAAGACTTCCTTATCACTGGAGATTTGTAAGTCTTGTCCATTTCAACTCTAGCGTTGTCTGTGGATGAGAATAAAGAATTAACTACTAAATTTTAAACAGACGTTTTCCAAGGGAACAAAAAATCATGAAATGACAGCAAGAAGTATGTATGGACTGGAGCTGTCAGAACCCTTAGTCACATTTGCTCTCTCTTGTGGAACTTGGTCTTCTCCTGCTGTAAGTTGATTGGTAGTTTAAACTGAATTATATAATCTTTCATAACCCCACACCTAAGGTGCTGTCCCATTCATGACTTGCATTTTGTCTCCTTGCATCATTAAACAACATTTGAAAATCACAAATGTTGTAAATCATGTCAAGATTTAAAAATTCTTACCTCCTTTTTAATACATCTATGACTAAATAGTCCATGTATCAAATCATTCTTCACAAATCATGATTTTTATTGGCTGACAATGTATTTTTTTTATTTATGCAAACGGTGCATAGAAATTAAATTTGATTTACTTATGGATTTGTCATGAACTATGCCAAATGCAGGTGAGAGTTTACACAGCATCCCAGGTTGAGAATGAACTGGAAGTGGCCAAAAGAGAGTACTTACAGGCAGCAGTTGGAATTTCAGCTTCAAAGTTTGCTATCCCAAAGCTGCTGGATTGGTATTTACTGAACTTTGCAAAAGACTTGGAATCATTGCTGGATTGGATCTGTCTCCAGTTACCAAGTGAACTGGGTAAAGAAGCCATTAAATTCCTTGAGGAAAGAAAAACTGAGTCCCTCTCACAATTTGTGCAAATTATGCCATATGAGTTCAACTTTAGATATTTGATATGCACATAATTTCACTCCAGTTTTCTGTACATTGCTCTATTGCAATTTTGTATACATCTGTAGATCATACATAATAAAAATGTAGATGATCATCTGTTCTCTCCTCCCATTGGGGGTAAAAATGCTCAGATTCCTTCTTATCAATGAAACAATCACAATATAACCGGTGGAATTTGAACTTAGCAAAATTTTCGAGATTTAATTCCACTTCGTCACCTATCTTTCACATTTATGCGAGTTTTGCCACCCTAATTTTAAAATCACACATTTTGTCATTCAACTTTTAAAATTTTACATATTTTATCATCATAAATATGTCATATTAACAATTTATGTAAGCAATCCACATTCTACATCAACAATTATAAGAAACACATCGATGATCAAATTATTAAAACCTTGAAAATTGAGTGACAAAATTCGTAAAACTATAAAAGATGGATAGAAAACAAAAAATACAATCAAGTCAATTTTCAATTTTCAACAAGTACTTGAAGGAAAAGTATATAAGAAGGTAAAATGAATTAAACTTTGTCAACAAATCAAAATCAACTTATGTATTTTAACTTTTATGAAAACTTTCATCTAACTTCTCACAGTTGAAGTGTATATGTTGATTTTAACTTGTAAAAGAGTTTGATTCATTTTATTTTATTTTATTCTAAATATTTATCGATAAATTTATTAAAAAAACTTTTTCATAAACTTGTCTATTCCAATTAAATGAGTCGATGTTCAGCCATTATGATACCACTTAAAAAGACTTAAATTCTGAACATTCTATCCTCTTCTAACTAGGATTTTTTTGTGTGTGTGTGTGCAAGCAAATTGATATGTAGCAGCATTGACAGATAAAGAAAGTTATTAAGGTGTATATTAAATTGCATATGTTACATGTCAATCAATGAACAATGTGTTCACATGTATTGAAATTAATAATCCAGCATCCAAAGCAGGCTATTGGCACACGCATTGTGGTCCATCTTATGGCAGGTTATATTTGGTGAGGCAGAAGAGGCCACTTCAATTAATACACTTTATGCAGTTAAGTGCTCTAATTGCAGTTCCATTATGGCTTTCATTGCTTTCCAGCACCAAACAGCTTTGCCGCATAAAAGCTGAATTATTAACCAAGTTTTGCTTTGTATTCTTCTGTTGCCAACTACTAAGAAGAACACATACTCCCTCTTTGATCTTAAAAAAAAAAAGTGTTTAAAATTTAAACTTAAATATAAGTAAATTTTACCTAAGTCAACTTTATTTAATATTTTTAATCTAAAAATATATTTAAGACAATAAACAAAAATACTATCTTAATAAATATAATTAAAAATATTTTAATAAATATAATATATATTTTATATGAAATCGTAAAAATTAAATACATTTAATTATCTTCATTAATCTATATGAAATTAGTTTTATATATATAGGCTTGGACAGAGTACCAAATTGTAATTCCTTACTTAGGATTTCGCTGGTCCGTATTCGACATGCTTAACATTGAAGTAGACAACTTGTTTTTTCCTTGTTTGAAAAAATTTCGGCCGAATTGAATCCATAAACATTGCAAAAAATTGTGATCTGCTTCACACAGGACCCCTCTGGTTTCAGTGTACAAATTTGGTTAGGAACTAAAGTGCTTTTTTGGATAAATTTTACTGTAATCATTTATAAGAAAAGAAAACAAGAAAGTAAATTTTAAGTTTAACTTTTATAGAAGTATTCATGTCTAACTTTTCTAAAAGCTGCGATATATAAGCCGTTTTAATGTATGTTGAAGCTAAATTCATTTTACCTTATTTTCTTTTGATGCAAGTATTTATGGAATAGTTTATTTAAGGTGAAATTACTCTTTTAGTCATTTTTTTTATTTAATAGTTTAGTTTGGTCATTTTATTATTAAAAGGTTTAAGTTGTTTTCTTAATTTTAAAAAATGATACACTGTGGATTTTTTTTTTCTAATTGAAATTAATAATATTAAATTCTTGCACAGATAGTGTAATAAAGAATACCATATAGCACCACATGTACAAATGATGCAATTTAGTGTCTTGGTCTAATTAAATTAACATGTTAGTTTCAATCGGACCAAAATGTTATATTGCATCATTTTTAAGAAATCAAATTCCACCTTTTAATAATAAAGGAGACAAATTAAATCAAGTAAATAAAGAGATGATCCAAAGAGTAATTTAATGTTTATATAAACATGTATTCAACTATATCTTTCATGTATCATCAATTATCATCTGTTTTCAACTTACAACTCAATTTGTTGTTGTGTGCTTGAAATTTTTTTTTTTTGAACATATCAATTGAAATTGCTAGAAAATGGAGACAAGAAGTCTTCTATTAAAGATCTTCAGTCCTCAATTCTTTTGTCCTTGATCCCCAAATTTCAAATGTTGATTGTACCTGTAAAAAAGACTTTGATGCGAAAATTAGTAGGTATTCGACGTGTTCGAGTGTGTTTTGTCAGATTACATACCTCATGAGGGTTTGATGCATGTATATTTATAGGTAAAGGAATGTTACTATTAAGGACCTTGATCATTAAGTGTATTCAAGAGACTATATTGCCTTATAGCGATTGAGTGTTACTCTTTATCATGATTGCAACAAGGAGCTTGACTAGGCCGAATACTTTTTAACCTCAAAGATTACTATTTGATAACTGACAACATCTCAACTTATTATTTTGTAAATGAGGCTGACAACATCTTGATCCCAAGACTTCTCTAGTACACAAGCCCCCAAGTCTTTGACATATGGGAGATGAGTTAAGTAGATAGTGAAAATTTTTGCTTCCCTCCAAAAATTTCAGTTGTTTCTTTTTGAGGAAACGTATAACTTTTAATAGCCATTTCACTTGCAATGAATGCATGTTAGAGGACACAATCACGTGGATATGAAACGTCTCGCACATATGGAAAATCGTAACCATTTCCACCATTGATATCAAAGGGATCTAACGGTTTAGGTAGATGCAATGCTTCTTATCTCGAAGTTATCTTCTTCTATAAATAAGGCCTCTTAACCCCTTAGAAGAATTTACCTACTACCTCCAACTTTCAAATACACTAAGCATGTGTTTTCCTTGTCTTAGATTTCTAAAAGTCGAGTACCGACCAGGTATGTCTTTCTTTCGTCTTTTATGAGTTTCAACAATAGTATAGAGTCTCCAATATTTTGTGGAATGGAGGTTAACATTATTTCTAGTTCTCCCTCATTTTTCTCATCTTCATCCTTTTCCTCCAAAAACTCTCACTCTTCTTTTTCTTCCTCTACTCATACATCTAGTGCCTTAATTACTTCTCCATTAGACCTAACCCTCCTCAACTGAATGCTGAGATACTTGTAGAGGATAAGAGTTAGGTGGTTATTAATCAACATGACAACCAAAAAGGTCCAAGCAAGGAAGTACCTACTACTAAGACCGTGGATAATCTACCTTTTTATGTTGATTCCCAACCTAAGAGTTAGGTTTGTCATGGAGACAAACGAGTATTCAAATTGGGTTTTGAACAAAGTTTTTGAGTACTCGTCTAAATTCATGGATGAGTCTTTACTGATGAACTTCTTCCATTGAACCAATATTATGGAATTCAACAAGGGGGACCTAATAGAGGTTCAAAGTCCCTTCGAGGAAGATAGGGTATGCCAAGAAGCTGACAATGATGAAGCTTGCTTATTCTTTGTATACAATTGCTCTTTCAAGTCGTTGAACGTCTGGCTACCTTTTGACCCATTCACATTTAGGGTGTTATTGTTTCTCAAAATCGCCCCAACATAGCTTCATCCTAATTAATAGTTGAACTCTTTTGTAGGCATTTTGGTTTGTCTGTAAGACACTAGACATAGAGCTCACTTTGAGAATATTTTTACATTTATACGAAACAAGGTCGAGGCCCACATCGAGGTGGCTCTCTTTGATTAGTTGCACTCACTGGGTATTGTTCGAGTCATATATTACATCCTTCAAAAACTTCAAGGATGGCTTTTTCAAGGTTTTACCGACTCTAAAGGGTGCACCCTTCTTCATGGAGCTAATTCCTAGGGACGAGGAGCATTCGACTCCCAAATTTCCTTTCCATTGGATGAGAAACCCTTTGAAGCACAAGATTTGGGAAACAAAGTCAATGAGTCCTCAAGAGTAGGAGGACTTAAAAATAATTAAACTTCTTTTTGTTCTCGTTTGTTGTTTTCTACATGATTTTATTACATGCTCTTATTTGTTGTTTTCCACATGATTTTATTACTATTGAATTGTTACAAATTTATTACATGTTCTCATTCGTTGTTTTCCACATGATTTTATTTCTATTGAATTGTTATAAAATTTGATTATATATGATTAATGTCGTGCATTAAGCCTTTTTTTTTTGCATAAATTGAGTTGTTTATGGTTTTTGTGAGAACCCTATGAGTATGCGTGTGAATAATAATTGTGTGAGTAATTAATAGAAAAGTGTAATGGTATAAAATTTGTGTCTTATGGATGCATTTTAGGGTGTTTTATTGATTGAATTGTTCTATGTAATTTTTGGCTCTTAAATCACATGTTTCACAATTCTGTAAGTTTAGGGTTTCTAACACCATTTGCGCCTCGCCAGACATTGTGGTGCCCAAGAGTAGAGTTCACTCTTTGTTTTGTTTGTGTTAGGCATGGGATATGCCTCACCGGGCACTATCAAGGTCGCGAGAATATATGAACCTAACATCAGGCGTGAGTTGAGGCTCACCAGGCATGGGGGCTCCAGGAAGTCCTTGTTGCTATATCAGGTGAGAGTCATCCCAAGAGCTACGAGTTCTCTCTGAACGAGCTACACCGAGCACAAATTGACTTCCATTTGGCGCTACACATTTATGAAATTTGTTTTTTTTACTCAAGCTGAAGAGGTTTTGTTGAGTAATTTGAATGTTGCTAAGTGTGAAATACATGTTCTGATATATTGATTGAATGAGATACTTCAATCTTGTATGGAAAATAGTGTATATGGTAAATCATATGTATTATAAATCGTATGTATGACAAATCATATGTGTGCCAACTCGTTGAGTATGTGTAGTGATTCATAATATGATAGAGAGTCTATGTGACATGTATCATATGCACACAAATCAGCAAATCGACAAATCATTTCATATGCACTGCGCATATCTTAAGATTGGTACCAC